TGCACCTGGCAGACTCGTTATCTCTGTAAGAAATCTCCCCTCGTATTTTTCAATTAACGAAGTATAATTTGGGTGTACGTGAAGCATAACACGAAAAATGGTGTGTAACGAATTCTGAAATCCTAGAAATCACCTAATTTACTTCTATTATGGCTAGAAGTTCGACCTGATTCAAGGGTTGGCAATACAATAGAGTTATGTTAAACGATGAGCGAAGTGTAATTTTATCGTGAAAAATAAATAATGGTTTATTTTTTATACCACTTTTGATAAATTAAAAATCTACAGCATTTGAAAACAACGCGACCGTTGTGTATGGTTTGTTTTAGAGGCCTTAAATTCAGCGTTCTGTGTTGCTTTCGTATGTTTTGAAACTTGCAAGTTTAGGCGGGAATTAGTCACTGCAGCCGCGACACAATGTCCAGTAGACGTAATCAGAGAGGGAGAGGAAAGGAGAAAAACGCCACGGGCAACAACTGAGAATAATAACTGTAATAGAACCCTGTCTCGACTGAGCGACCACTTTTGAACGGCATACTTAAAATAATCGCTTTCTTAACTGCCTTAATTTCCCCTGCCATTTCCCAAATTTCAGAAATTTCATGCAATTGTTACATCTGTGAAATATGTGTGCGTCTTTCCTTGACCAAAAGTGTTGCACCAATGCCGATTTTAAACACTTGGTTACAGTGTACTGCTGTTTGTGAATTTGTGTTTAAAACGTTTTCTTCGACTTTTTGTAGTTCCCTTATGAATATATCCGATATTTTACTGCCAGTTCCACATCCTAGTGATACTCTGGCTAAGGAATCTGTTTTTACCTATCAGGAGCTTGTAAATTTGTTTTCAATCGAAAAGCAACTAAAAAAGAAATCCTCTAGCTTGACCTATCAGAATTCCGCCGCTTTATCAGAATATAAACAGTAGAGTCTGTCTGAGTCAGTTTCAATACCACGAACGTGCGTTGGGTATGAGAAGCGAGGTAATAGATGACGTGCATACAGCCGAGTAGGAGGTAGCCATACTTCGATAGGGTGGGGNGGGGGATTGGTAAGGAAGGGACTCCCATATGAAAAGGTCGGTGATGCTCATCGTCTTGTTTAGGGGTATAAATCAAGGATTCTAGTCTCACTTAAGGCTTAGGGTGTTCGTAATAAAACCACTATTTCTAGCTGCCAAAGTATCTTTTAGGGTGCACTTGAAGAAATAATGATAAAAACGCTCTTATTTCCGTTTTTAGGCTAGATGTCCGCCGGTCTCTCCTAGTGTGGTCTTCTTTCCTGAGAAGAGGCTGGTAATCGAGCCCATTCTGTTTTAAGGTTGGTCTCTCACTCTCTTTTAGGGGTTTAATTCCAATTTTCCGACGAAAATCGCTGACCTTTTCCGTGACGGAACCATACCAAGCGCGAGTGGTAATATATCTTGCTTTCTAATATGACTGACAAAATTACTTCATTGTGATTGGCTGAGAGCATGCAAATTTATAATTAATTTTAATTTGCACTGCGATGTAAATTAATGTGCACGCGTTCGTAATTTCTCAGTTGTATTATAAGTGAATAATCATATGAAAGCTCGCGCAATTAACACTACTCGTGATATTTGAAAATTCTTTCAAATTGCAGTCGCCTAACTTATGGTAGAAATCCTTACGCACGCTCGCATTGTACGATCACCTTTACAAAAAATTTTGTATAGGCAATCGTATGAATGCGACACTACGAATGATATTTGAAAATTCTCTCTAAATTGCACGAGCCTTTAGGCGAGTGCACTTTGAAAATTCCAAATTTCATGGGTAGTGTAAATCCTTAATTGCTCGAGCTTTCATATGACTACAAATTTATTATATGACTGAGAAAACTACGAACACGTGCACGTTAATATGCACTGCAGTGCAAATTAATGATTAACGAGCAATTGGCCTGATCTCAGCCAATCACAAGGAAGTAATTTTCTCAGTTTTATAACAAAATTTGTAATTCTTTGTCGATCATGTTTCTCGGACTTGGCATAATAGATGATAGCCAATGGCCACTTATTAAAATTAAACTCCCGTATAAAATGCTCCAGTCTTTAATAATGTACAACAGTTTGCTTGTGGCTCCAAAACTGCTTCTCTAGTCAGTGGCAAGTTGGACAAGCGAGAAGCGAAAAAATATTTTAAAAAAAAGTATAATAAAAGCTGAACGAGAGGTGGTCAATTAATGTCGCGTGGCTTTGTTTTTATTTTGTTTTTTTGTTCTGTTAAAAAGCAAAATCAGTTTAACACTTTCATTACAAAGAAATTGAGCTAAATTAAACAAGGTTTTTTGCAGGGTGTTAAGCTTGGGCGCGTCTCAAACACAGCAAATCACTCGCCCTAGTGTGAGCGACTTCTGAAATGTTTCTCAATGGCATTCTCTAGTTAACCACTGCTAGCCGAGTAACAGGAAAGAAAATGGCTTCAAACGAATTCAAACTCATTCAGAGAGATGGTAACTCTATATTTAATTTAAGACAACAATGTCTTCCTTTTAATTTCACAACTGCTTAAGTTGTAGGTAAAACTGCGATGATCAGTCGTGTCTTCATATTCTTCTCCGCAAATCAAATATATGATCTTTCATATATTCAGCTTAATGTCTTTCTTTGGTTGTATCCGCCGTACGACCCTACCGTTTCTTTGGGTATGTTTTCGTCAAAAACTAAAGCATTTCTTATTTTAATCTGAAAATTTCCTGATTTTTTTTTTGTTGTTGTTGTTTTGTTTTAATCTTTTTCTTATATCTTGTTTGAGGTTGAAAATATATATTATGTTATGTKTAATTACCCTATAACGTTCATGGGAAAACATAACAGAATTCGTCACCTAATTTATAATTTAGCTCGTTCTAAAATTTCACCAATCACCAGAAGTATCTGTAGTAAAGACAAATGTTTCCCTAGTCTGTATCTTTTGATGCGCTAATTGCGGTTAAAATCTCGTTATCGTTCCTTCGTCTCGACACAGCAGAAATACATCACTGAAATGTAGAGCGACACATACTCGAGAAAAAGGAGCAAACAATATGGCCGCCACGAAATCGAAACCAGTGCCAAGAAAGGACAAGATTTGCGTTTGGACCTTTCCCGAAGGCACACAGCCGGCAGTTCGCGTTCAGGTTGAGGACGGGAAAATCAAAGCCGAAGATCTCCTTGAAATAACCGGCAAAACTTTGGAAATCTGCGCTAATAGCCTGCCGTTTTTCGGACTCTTTCGCGGTATCGAAAACCCCACAAAGAAATATGGCAACAACGAAATGATATACCTTCCTTGTCGCTACGTGATTTCAATTCAACGCTGGTCTTTCGATGTTCCGAGAGAGCAAAAATACCTCAAGACAGACGCGGGTGCGATGCGTTTGCTTTGCGTGCAGTGTATGGAAGACATCAGACTCGGAAGACTCAAACCCAAACCAGACGACATTCCCCTCATGAGGGAATACAGAAACCCGGCTTTTCCGTGCGACAAGCAATACGTGGAGCTCTGTCAGACGATGTATGGTTATGGCTACGTTTTTCTAAATGATTGCACAGTACAGAATGATGTCAAAGTGAAAGATGTGCGACTGACAATAGGAATGAAAGTGGACCTGATCGCCAACAGAAGAGGTCTAATGATTAAGTCAAGTAAGTCCAAGCTCAAAATAGAAATTCTCCCTGATGATAGTCATACACCGATTTCGATGAAACTTCCAAGAATTTCGTGTTATATCAAGACAGTTCCTGTATATTTATCATTTTCTCTTTTTTCATTATCATGTATAGTATGTTTGCTTGGTATTGTACGGTGAATTAGAAGGGCAAGTACAGAATTAATGTTCGTTATGGCAGTAACTAAAGAGATAAACTGAAGATTCATCAGCGTCGATAACTACTGTTTCTTATAATCCATCAAACATTTTCGCTCGCGTGTGATTGGTCTAAACATGCACGTCTCGTGACTGAATATGCCCCAGCTAAAACTGGAGAATATCCGAGCTGAGTGATATTCCCCAGTTTTCAAAACCCCACGTTTCGCGAAAAGTATTTGAAGGATAATAAACATAATAACCTCCATTTGGCGCGAAAATATGTGTGGGTTATTGACCACGTGCGAGGCCAAGATGGCTGGATATTGGCCAAGTTCTTTTTTCGCGTGTTTATGGACCGAGACGGAGTCGAGGTCCATAAACTCCATAAACTCGCAAAAAAGGAACGATCTTGACCGAACAAGCTTGGTNTCACAGCGCAGGATTTGATTCATCTTGCCCGCTCACGGAGCTAGCCATATAATAAACTCGGATATTTGTCCTCAAAGCTCACAGTCTTCCTCGAGTTACGCTGCTCTCGAAAAAACTGTTCGCTTCTCGGAACAGATAATGTCCAAGGAGAAACATCCGCGCATCTTTTCGCGCCAATTATATATTTACTCTTTCAAAAAGTTAGCAACATAATTTATCCAAGTTGCCGAAGCTTCCAAGACTTCTATTTATGAAATGAAAGTAATATAATTTCGCTTAAAGCTGCCTAAATAAAATTCGATTACAGCTCAGTAACACATTCGAGTGGAGTTTGAGAATACGTTAAAAGGAGTTGACCACAGATAGCTTTGTGTTCCAACAACCTCCATGGAGTTCTCTTAAAATTTCCCGAATGTTACTCTTTTCCTTTCCAGCTGAACAATACTCTTCAATCATTGGCTCAGCTTTCGCACCCTTTCAACATATTTCTGAGAAAGCTATTCACATAGTTCTCTTCTAGCAGAGGCTCTTTTCCTGGTGTTCGCTCTTTACTCCACTCAGCGAACACCAGGAAAAGAGCCTCTGCTAGAAGGGAATTCACATAGTAGCAAAATCTTGGCTTAAATGCAACTCTCAATTTAGTTCAAAAAATACTAAATTAACTAATTACAATATTTAGAGGGGAAGTCACATCAGTCTTAGCTGGTTTTCATGCGGGTCCTATATCCTGGTCGAATTGAAATTTGGAGCGTTGGTTTTTGTGGCGGGAGGAAAACCGGAGAACCCGGAGAAAAACCCTCGGAGCAAAATCGAACCCAGTCCACACTAAGGGGAGGCGAGCGCTCTCGCCACTGCGCCATCCTTGCTTCCCAAATACTAATCTTTTACATGCCTCTCTCGACAGAAAAAACAGCATTTTTTGCTCCATGGCAAAAAATTCGTCGCTGGTCCCAGGCCCAAGGCGACAGCGTTCATTTCGAGATTTACTTCACAGAGGAGTTACGGTTTGAATGGGTGGAGGTTGAGACAGAACAAGTGGCGTATCTGATGTCAGTTATCGCAGAGTGTGTCTACCTCAAGCAGAAAGAATACAATGGACCAGAGAGACCCAACTGGGACAAAGGAGCCGAGAAGAAAAAGCTAACATGGAAAATGATCAAGAAGGAGCTGTTCTCCAAAGAAAGCAAAGAGGAAAGCGAAGAGGAAGATGAGCCATGTCAGGGATTTGATGTTCTAGAAGATGAGGCCTCTAGTGACGGTGAAGAATCAAGCGATGACGAGGAAGGTGCCAAGGCGGCTCCCTCATCACGTCGCAGCTCGCAGTATCGTTTTTAGCTGATTCGTTTTCTTTTTTTCTTTTCTACACCCAAAGAAGTGTTCCGTTGCCATATGAGAGAACATAAAACGTTATTTTATGTAATACACTGGAAGAGATTGTTAAAAGCATCTTGATGTCATGTCGCGACCAGTTTATTTCGGGAACGGCATTCCTAGTGGAAGATATATATTTTCTACCCTACGTGTGAAAGATATGTCTTGATGCACCAGGTCTAGCTCAGTTGCATAAAATAATGTGGCACCAGTGATAACAACAAAACCAGCCATACCAACATACAACAGTCATGTCTTGCATATCTGTCTGGCAGGGTGGAGGAGTGGGGAGTGGGAAAGAAAAGTGAACTGCAAGGAGAGAGCTTGAAACCAAATCATGAATAATTAATTTTCGACTCACCCACTTCAGCAAACCTCAAAGATATACATTTGTACCAATACACTGAACAGTCAGTTAGTTGTTAACAGTTTATTAAAATGAACTGTGCTCAGTTTTTTTTTCTTGTACACATCTGTACATGTTACAAAGAAATGGTTAAATAATATGAAGGTATAAATTACAATTTGGACAGCAGCACAATCTGTAAACACTCATCTATATAATCATTTACTTCACACAACTGAGAAGTCTCAAATAATAGGTCACTCTTGCACATGCAATCTGTTCACTACGAAGATGAAAACATGACTGTGAAATTCAGTAAACCACGAGTACCAGAAATACTTATGAAATAATATTGTGTTACCATAGCAAGGAAAAAGCAAATAGGGCATGACAAAACAAAACCGCAAACAGCAGTGGTAATTAGTTTGTGGTTTTGAGGTTTTGAACTTTTATATTGTGATTGGTCAGTATACAATTGACCTGTCAGAATCATATCAAATCAAAGTGTTCATGGTTTTCTGAATTTCACAGTAATTCTTCATACTGATTGGCACAACAATAATAGCTCTCTACTGTTAGATCTGAAAATTTTGTGGCGCATCAAGGCAATATCACCCAGTTAATGATTTCTTAACTCTCATATCGACTGTCTGTGCAGATGATGAGTTAGTACTCTTAGAAGTAAGTAGATATTAATCATTCTTGGTCATTACAGGGTTAAATTTATCATCGTCTTTTGTTATTCTTGAAGGATTGAGAAACAAACACAGATTATGCAGTTTCAAGGGTATAACCATACCACTCTCCCAAAAACAGGTTTGACATTTGGACAAGGGCGGATTGGGGAAGGGGGGTGGGAGATCAAAAGCCTCAGTTTATTCTTTTTCAGGTGTGAAGTCAGAAGAAACTGGATTCTTAGAGGGGTGGAGGGGTCAAAACCAAAAATATTCTGAGTGAGGGGTATGGATATTTTTGGGAACAACAAAATTAATGTGGCATACAATTAGTTCACTGTGTGACCTTTCTTTCTCAATAAAAAATATCAAATCACTACTCAATAGTTTGAGTTACATGTGAAGCCATAACTACTTTACAATTAGATTACGAGCTCAAGATTTCTATCATGTGTAGAAGTCAAGAGCAAATCATTGAATTGCTTTAGTATAGATCTACTATTCCATCAAAACTTTATCTAAATCCTCTGCACAAACACTTCAAAAAATTTAATGCTACATGTAAGAGGTGGCCACCATCTTGTAAACAACCACACACTGCTAGGTTACTCACTATCTACAACAGAATGGATAGGGAGTAACGTAGCCAATAAGAGAAGAGCATTTATAATAAGTTTATACATAATGTGAAAAGAGCACAAAGTGAACCGATGATCATTACAGCTGAGTTTACAATTATAATAAGGATTTAAATATTTTTAATGCATGACTTCCACATTGTCAGTTTGATGCAGCCACAAAAACTAAGCTTTGAAACTTTATTGATGTACATTTGCTTCCAATTTGACTTAAAAACAACTCAGTTGGTAGAGCTTTAAATTGGCAATAGGGAAGCTCTGGATTAAAATCTGTTGACTCCCTGGATTTTTTATCAGGCTCCTTGACAATATCTTACAGTGTACAGCAAACTGCGAACACAACTGCTTTAAATCTTTTGCACTTTTAATGCAGATTGCCAGCAATTTTCAGCTACATTTTAACAAAACTGGTGATTGCATAATTTGCGTTAGAACTCAACGTCTTCTTACATTTCCTGTGACAGCTTTCTTTGGTGCTGCTTTACTCGTTGTCTTTTTCTTACTGCCTGAGGAGAAGTTCTTGGCAAACCAGTCAGAGATGTCTGGCAAATCTTTAGACTGATTAAACATATTCATTGATGACTGCATTTCCTAAAAGGACAGAATAAAATGACCAGTAGTAAGAGCTCAAGTAGGCAAAACACAAAACAACTGGAGCTGGTTCCCAAGCTAATAGGAGTTCAGATGCTTGTCCAGTGCCAAGTTACCCTTCCCTCTTGTATTTTGTCAGTTTGCTGTAACAACATTCATGTACCTATTTATAACCTAAAAGAGGTTTTTGAAAGCTGATTAACACTAGGTGATTGCAGTAATTTTAAATTCCCTTGTACAAAAGTGTTTCTCACTGCTATTTTGTATACAGTAGCTTGACACTGTCAAAATCACAATTGGGACACAGAAAATATAAACAGAGAACCTCACTAAAATGTTATAAAACTGAAATCAAAATTCCCCCCATGCTAATCCTGGATTACATGTACATGTAACTTTATCATGTTTTGAACAACCATACACCCCGCTACAACTCTCACATTGTGTCTCTACACCACAAAGTTGAGCAGACAGCACAATGCTTAAAAACTAGAGCCACAGATTGAAAGTGATTGATTGATTGATTGATTGATTGATTGATTAAGAGTCCAGTGCACACAAGATTGGTGCACTTATCATCAAGCTGACCAATGAGTCATGATTGTGATGGAAAAATTTGAAAAATGCAACAATCACTGTTCATTGTGGATTTGTGTTTGGGCAAAACTTAGGCAGGGAAATATCACGACTACCATAATGCCATCATTTTTGAAAAGCTTCGTTTTCAAAATGTTTTCCATCCACACTAAAACACAAAGCCAGCATTTTCGAATTCCTCCAGTTTGAAAAGCATTTTCAAAAAGCTCCATTTTCACGACGGATTAGTGTGGATGGTATGCCTAACCGTAGAAATAAAGCTGCATTTTCAAATTTCTTTGGTGTGGTGTGATGGGGCTTTATTGAACATCAATTCAATTTTATGTTTTTTCTCACCTTCAAAATTAAAATTATTTACACCAATAATATGTGAAAACAGCTTTGCACAGTACTAGCAATACCGCCCAGAGAGGTCTATCCTTGGTGCAGTTATTGCTGATTTAAAACAAATAATACATGAAAACTACACTACTARTGCCYCTACCTTTTGTGTCTCTGGATCCTGGCTATTTATAAGTTTAGGTAAGACTAACAGCAAAAGAAGTGGCAACACCATCATCAACACCTGTGCAAATGTAAAATATTAGTGATAATTTTTGGCTCAAAAGCTGTCACCTTTCCTCTTCTACAATATTGAACAAATCTTCATCCCTGAACAAGTGCCGGATACCTCGACCAAATAAAAGATTCTAGAGACAATTTTTTTGCAGTGTGGCTCTGATGTAACCTTCAGTAAGATGTTATGAATGAAAAGCCAGTGGATCAAAAAACAAGTAGCTCATTTTTCACATGTATGTGCTAAACAAAAAAGCATCTGAGCCACTTTGAAATATAACAATGATGTTAATTCTCATGATTATCCTTTTGAACAAACTTCAAGTAAGTTTGCTTGGGAAAATCAAATGTGCAAGAGAAACTGTTAACTTATTGTATCTGATACAAGTAGTTTGCACCATCCTACACAACAAGTAGAATAAGCTGCACACATGTACATGTATTTATAAACAGCAGCTGTGTGTAATATTCATCCTAAAGATAATCTACACATCCACCTGGGCATAGCATGCATTTTTCATGGAGTATGCAAGAATTAAGAGAAAGGTTAAAAGGTGTCACAAGTGTGAGCCACTAAACAGGGTTTTAGGTTTGGGGACATACACCTGCCAAATTGTTATTTTCAGACACTTGGAAATGCCACTTCCCACATTTTCAATGGAACAGTTACATAAGTGAACACAAAAAAATAACAATAGGAGCATTAAAAGGAGTGTCAAACCTTTTAACCAATAAACATATAACTCAATTTAAAATAATTCAGCATATAAGAGGTACATATGCATGAATATGCATATAACAGGTCACCAAATCCCTGATATTTCCAGAGGACAAAAGGGTTGACATCATATATGTTATCTAACTCACCATGGGATTGAAAAGCATATCAGTCACTTTCCATTGCTCTCGCTTCTCAAAGAAAGGTGCAGGCTCTTTAGCTTTAAACTTCAAAGGATAAGGAACAGTTACGACAGCTGAATTCTGAAGAAAGTTCACTCTCCTTGCTCGGATTTTACCCTTTGCTCTGCCACTGATGTCGACTCTTACAGGTTCAAACATGTTATTTGGTGAAAGAACTTCTACTACATAAGAACCAGCAGGAATGTCATTTACAGTAAAGCTACCATCAGTTTTGAGAAATCCGACATAGCTTCCCCCATCTACAAGGACTCTTGTTTGCGAAATCCAGTCTGAAAAAAGACGTTGAGCATAAAGTCATCCTCTAACTAACCTTTGCCTATTTCTTGGCCACAGATAAAATTACATTGAAAATTATCTAATTGAAGGAAACCTGGAATAGTCATTTACTAAGACAGAAAAAAATCGAAGAGACGAGAATAAACCGTAAAGGAGCAAAGAAGGTTAAGGATGAAGAATATTAGTCAACATGGAGTACAAACAACAAACTTGAAAAATGTAGGCTGAACTTTTTTGAAGATGCGCAAATTATGACGTAGCTCCCTTAAGACCAAGCCATACCTGGATCAGAGTTGATAAAAGTTGACAGGAGTTGAACTCTCTTTGACCATCATTCAAGAGCAGCCAAAGATCAGAGTTACATAAGTTGTGGACGGCTATCATTTAGACACAGCCAACCATGCATGAGAGTGTGCAAGAGGCAAAAATACTTATGCAAGTTTAAATTCATAGAGAATAACTGAGAGATGATGAGTCAATGAGAGTACAAGAGAATTATCAGCAGTCAATTTGAACTCTCTGCTATAAATTCTCATTTGGCCCAGCCTTCACCCTCAACAAGTTGGACCAAAAGCCCCGAGACTACATTGTACCTACAAGCACTGAACAATGTTTTGCAATAATTTTGAAATAAATAATTTTTCCAATAGTGTTATGGCTGCATTCGCATCTTTCATTCTTTCATTATTTAATTGCTACTGTTGGACATTTATTACCATGGAATTCATATACTTGAGCCGAGTATTACGTCTGCTGAACATATAGGGCGGAACCCACACACGACCGCTCTCAAGTGGCTTTAATAGCTCAGTTGATAGAGCATTGCACCAGTAACACAAAGGTCGTGGGTTCGAATCCTGTTCAGAGCCTGAAATTTTTTCAGGTCATTTTCCAGTAGTGTTATGGTTGCATTCGCATCTTTCATTCTTTCATTATTTAATTGCTACTGTTGGACATCTGTTACCATAGTAGTTACTAAAAAAGCTGAATTCATGAATGACTACACTGAGTAACAACACCATTAGTTTTGGCAAAGAAGAGTAAGATAGCTAGTTAATGATATCTAAGGCCCGGTTTGTAAGTTGCATTCTGCCGTCTTGAATTCAATTCAACAAATTAAATTCGACAGAAATTCGACGTCTGAATCATTGTCGCATTATCCGACAGAAATGTGACACCGATTCAGACATCGAATTTCTGCCGTGTCGAATCTAATGCATACATTATGTTAATGTATTGAATATGCGTAAATGTTTTCCCACCAAAGAAAAAGAGGAAACTTGGTCATTCTCGACCCAATGCAACCTGAACATATTGCAACGCATACTGCTCCGTTGTAAGCCTTCTNTTTTAAAAAGATCGTCAACTTTACAGAGGTCTTGTAACCTGAGTCGTGTACAGAAAAGAGTCAAGGATAACAATAAGTTTTGTTCTATTAAACATCTAAATACAGATCAGCTGAAAGGTAAACCAAGTTCTTACCGGATGGCTTGAAACCTTGGATTGTTATCTTGCCTTCAATTTTGTAACGCTCAGAAGTCTCCTCCACATTACTACCACTCGTTCGCCGTGTGTTTGGAAGAATAAACAACGTTAAATAAACTAGTATACTATACAATTCTTTCATTTTCACCCCTAATTGCTGCTAAAAGCTTTTACAAGAAATAACACGAACAAGTTGGTTGAAAAATCTCGAGTCGCCGGGTACTAGTTTTCAGGCCACTCCATGTAACGCCTGGAGGGCCTGACGTGCGACTCAAAAACGTTTGAACGCCTGGCAGATTTTTCAGGTGGTCCTTCGACTTGCTTGCATCGCGTGGAATGTTTAGACCAGAAAAGTGAGTTTATCATCATGTCTTAGTTTGTACACAAGTCTTTAGTTAATATTTATGCTCACTGCCTTTATCTGCAGGTTGGTAAGCGTGAGTGACGCTCGAAAATTGTTTTAAAATGGCGGGGCGCAGAGTAATCTGGTCGAGTCCTCTTTTTCCTGCACACACAGCAAACGTTTTTAATTGGTTGAGAGCTATTTACCGCAACCAAAGAAATCTTCTTTACACAGGTCAAAGTTCCAAATCACAAGATCCCGCTGAACATTGCAAGCAGTTTTCTATCTCACACATTGACCATGTTGTGTTGACAGTTGAAAGCATGGAGTCCACTGTCAAATTCTACACCCAAGTACTTGGCATGGAAGAAATAATATTTGGGCAGGGCAGGAAAGCCCTCTCCTTTGGAAATCAGAAATTTAATTTGCATCAGAGAGGGAAAGAATTTGAACCAAAAGCTGCAAATCCGACGCCAGGTTCTATTGACATCTGTTTTGTTACTGATACGCCCATCTTAAGTGTCATTGCACACTTGAAGAGTCTTGAAGTGGAGGTAGAGGAAGGACCCGTACAAAGGACTGGTGCTCAAGGGCCAATCATGTCTGTCTATTTTAGGGATCCAGATAGGAACCTCATTGAGGTGTCTAATTATAACATTGATCTTTAGCTGTAATAGTAGTAACTTTATCCTAAGTCATAATTCAATTGAAAATGCTTTTTTAGCAATCGATTCCAATCAAAGAGTAAGATTTGAGGGAGTTCGTTCATTCATTGAATAGTGGTACCTGTAACTTATTATTTAGTCTATTGTCAAACTTAATATCTAGTATTTGTAAGAGTGGAGATTGACTGTAACTGTGAATTTTCCATGCTAATATACTGGGGCAAGTCTGTTCAGGCATTTAAAGGCCAATCACTGCATCTCTGGCCTCAAGTAACTGGGCAACCAGCAATTAGTCTGAGAGCCAACAACAATACTATTAGAGATGAAAGAGTTACTCAAATTAGAAACACTAACTACATCGCGATGTCAAGCGTGCAGGCTTCATATTGAAATGTTCAATACATACATGTAAGTTCAATGTGGAAACACAGAAATGCAGTGTCTATGCTACATAGGTTTGACAGGGGGGAGGGGGTTGTTGAACTGTTATTTTCAATCTCGTTATTAATTCATCAAGTTTAAAGAAATGAAATCATGACTGTGGTGTTGTTGGAATATCTGGTGTTAATTAGCATAGATTTTTACAATTTTATTTCTCCATTTTCCTCTCAGTTTTAGTTTCGATTGAGAAGATATATCAAACACTCAAGACCGTGTTTGACCACATTTCCAAACACCGCGACGTTCGTTAATAATACAAGTCATATTTTCAACTCTCTTCTCAGTGTTGGGAAATGCAGTCAAACTTGGTCTTAAATCAATAATGTTTGTTAAAAATGGTTGAAAGGGTAAAATGTCTTGTGACCAGTCTGGGCAGAATCACTTGATTGCCTTTAACCAAGATATTTGATCCAATAGAATTCATTTACATATCACTTTCACAAGGAAACTAAAACACTTTTAATGAAATAAAAGATATGTCTTAATTAATTACACTATGATAAAACTCATGATTAGATGTATTGCTTTTATGATATTTGCAGCTCTCTGGTCTTTCTATCTTGAAAATGTTCTGTAAAGCGCAATAAAATAGTTATTAGCACTTGCACTCTTCAACTTCGCATGACATGTTACTTGATATCATCTTATATTATCAAGCTAGAGGTATGAAGCCCTTTGCACGTGTTGCCTGCCTATGCTAATTTATAGTGATGTCTATAAACCTTCATCTCTTCATCTTGGTTCAACTATTATTTGGCTGAACCAGAACTGGGTTACTTTGAGATAACCTGTGATCAGGCATTGTTTTCAAAGCAGGGGGAAGGCGAAAAAAGAACTCTTTTTTTCTTCTTCCCCTGCAAAAAAAAAAAAAAAAAAA